TATATACAATTTTATTGCTATAATTTGTTTATATACAAAAATAATTTCCAAAAAAAAAAAGGTTTCTCAACCATTGAATAATTTACAGTCATCATTGTTATAAAATCGATAAAAATCAACTGATCTGTTCATAGAAATAGTTTATACAAAAAAAACACACACACATATCCGCCTAAAATGGTTGTAGTAAACTACGAAACGAATCGACAATATTTATTCTAAAAAAAATTAAAAAAAATTAAAAGAAATAACAAAGTAAACAATTTATTTTATAAAAAAAAACAACACATACATGTGATATTATTATAAATGAATATTCAACTTTTTTTTTATTATCTGCTTTAAACATTGTTGTATATACAAGGTTAATACTAAAAACATAACTAGTTAAAAAAAGGGATGGTTAGAGACCTTGAATAATGACATGACTCAAAATCGTTTGCAATGGCGCCAGTGCATTTTTATTCTTTGTGTTCTCTCAAATCCTAATCTTCTGGATTCTTCAACAACTCTAGTTTTGACTTTCTAAACTTTTCTCACTGAATCATACTCCTTGAATAGTATCTTCTAACCCTAACCTCTCTGATTACTTCTAATACCTTTACTACCTCTTCTACCACATCTCTGTGCTGATGTGGTATGGCAACATGAACTGATGTTTTTACGTAAGAAGTTCTACGTTGCATCTGACTGACTGACTGACTGAAAATAGGGATTTAATTTGAATATATTCATTAACATGGTAATACAAAATGAATCCATTCTAACGAGTTGAATTCTATTAAACTTTTGTAATAATAATACAACGAGTGTTTCATCTTAGAATGCACATATATTCCAGCGGAATTGGTAAAAAAAAATAATTTGTTCTTGAAAATCAACAGCAAGTAAATATACAAAGCTGTACGAATAAAATTAATGACTAGTTGAACCACGTAGGCATAGTGGATAATAAAATGTTAAGATATGTGAAGGAATAAGTATTGGTCAGTTAGTCAGTTACAATATAGAACTTCGTATGTACGCACATCAGTTCAGGTTGTCATACCCCATTAGCACAGAAACACAACTGTCAGTTTAAATCACATAGTGATAGAGATAGTAGAAGTATTAGCAGTAATGGAGAAGATTAGGGAGCGAAGATATGATTTGAGAAGTATAATTCAGTGAGATAAATTTAGAAGGAGAAAGATAGAGATTATGAGGGATTCAGAAGGTTAGAATTTGAGAGAACACAAAGAGTGGATACACCTGCACCATTGCAAACGATTCTGAGCCATGTCGTTCAAGGTCTCTAACCATTGGTTGCTTTCGTCTCGCGTACACCAACCAGGTAGCCTACATCTACCAACATGACTCAGTCCACTTGTCAATGACTGCATGGATTTGTGCCATGATTCGGTTTGGCCACCCGTAACTTTCTTCCAACCTACTCCTACACCACAAAACATAGCTCTTCGAGGCAGTCGGTTAGGTAGGCATATGTAACATATGTCCCAAGCACCTTAACTGATGAAGTCTCAATACTTGGTCTGCAATAAGTATTGGGGTTCAAGTCTGAGTAAACATTAACGTTGTGGCAAAGTAAAAGGTATGCAATCATTACGACAAGGCGAATTAACTGATTGAAAATTTAGAATTCCAAGTGAAGAAAATTTTCTATAATCGAAAATTCGTAACATTTAAGTAAACTTGTAAACAAAATACGATAAAATAAAGGCTATGATAAAATAAAAAAGAACTTTGGAAATTCTTTGCTATACATAATACTAATTATAAGTTATCGATGGTTAGTTTTGATAATATACATTAGATTTGGGTACATAACTCTTCACTACTTTAAGTGAATATTATAAATAATATTGGGGAATAAATCTGATGTTTGATGTCATGAGGCTATTAATAAATAGTACACTAGTTCATTAGATGTAGAAGCAACTGCGAAAATATTTCACATCCTCTTCAAGAAGATTTGGGATGAGGAACAAGTACCATCAGATTGGAAAGAAGGATACCTGATCAAAATACCAAAGAAAGGCAATCTCAGCAAGTGTGAGAACTACAGAGGCATCACTCGTCATTCAATACCAGGCAAAGTTTCCAACAGAGTATTGTTAAACAGAATGAAGGACTTCGTAGACGCCCAACTTCGAGATCAACAGGCTGGATTTCGTAAGGATCGATCGTGTACTGACCAAATTGCTACATTACGGATCATTGTGGAACAATCAATTGAATGGAACTCACCACTCTACATCAACTTCATCGACTACAAGAAAGCATTCGATAGCGTGGATAGGAAAACACTGTGGCGGCTTCTTCGACACTACGGTGTGCCTGAGAAAATAGTCAACATCATACGGAACTCTTATGATGGATTCAACTGCAAAATCGTGCACGGAGGTCCGTTGACAGACTCTTTTGAGGTGAAGACCGGTGTCAGGCAAGGTTGCTTACTCTCACCCTTTCTCTTTCTCCTGGTGATCGACTGGATTATGAAGACGTCGACGTCTGGAGGGAAGCACGGTATCAACTGGACAGTTAGCTGGACGATCTGGACTTCGCAGATGACCTGGCTCTTCTATCTCACACGCAACAACAAATGCAAGAGAAGACGACCAGTGTAGCAGCAGCCTCTGCAGCAGTAGGTCTCAACCTACATAAAGGAAAAAGCAAAATTCTCCGATGCAACACAACACGCACCAACTAAATCACTCTTGATGGAGATGCCTTGGAGGACGTTAACACCCTTACATATCTTGGCAGCATCATCGACAATCATGGTGGATCCGATGCAGATGTGAGGGCGCGGATCGGCAAAGCAAGGGCTGCATTTCTACAGTTGAAAAATATCTGGAACTCCAAACAACTTTCTACCAAAACCAAAATCAGGATTTTCAATTCAAATGTCAAGACAGTTCTACTGGATGGAGCGAAAACTTGGCGAACTACGAAAGGCATCATCCAGAAGATACAAGTGTTTATGAACAGTTGTCTACGCAAAATACTTCGGATTCCTTGGCCAGACACCATCAGCAACAACGAACTGCGGGAGAGAACAAGTCAGATTCCAATGGAGGAGGAAATCAGGAAGAAGCGGTGGAAATGGATAGGACATACACTACGAAAAGCACCCAACTGCGTCACGAGACAAGCCCTCACATGGAACCCTCAAGGCAAAAGGAAAAGAGGAAGGCCAAGGAACACACTACGCCGAGAAATAGAGAAAGATATGAGAGGAATGAACAAACATTGGACAGAACTGTAGAAGGAAGCCCAGGACAGAGTTGGTTGGAGAAAACTAGTGGGCGGCCTATGCTCCATTGGGGGTAACAGGCGTTAGTAAGTAAGTAAGTACACTAGTTCATTCGCTAGGTACTTGAGTATAAACTACACTTCAGTTGTACGGTTCAGTGACACTATCGAACTGCTCAAACAAAAAAAGTAAATAGGGCAGGGTTCCAAACCTGAAACTTATTAGTGGCTCAAGGTCGAACGCCTCAAATACTAGGCTATATTATCTTTTCATAAAGTTACTACTATTTAATTGGTTCACTTCATTATACACCAAGCCAAATTGGGAGAAATTACCGAATGAAGCAAAAAAGCCGTTTCAACCGACAACATCCTTATTTAACTCTAGAACAACAAGTAAACTGATATAACCACAAATGTCCAGTTACATAGTAGACTAGTGGCCACATTATGACTAGATCGGTAAAGTCCACACTCAATATCAAGAAAAAAGCTGAACAAACCTAATGTTATTCGCTAATAAGTAATCGAGCAATTTTAAATACACAAAAATTTGTTCTCAAGGAATATTGTTGATATTTTGAACTAAATAATAAACTGCATAACTTACGATAACGGTCTTTTCCTCCTTTCATTATTATTATTATCATTGACTTTTGAGTGCTTATTCTGTGAGATTTTCGACATTGACTTTTGATTAAGCATTTCATTTGACTTTACAAAAGCTGAATGAATTGTAGAAAACTGCACTGTTGGTTGTTGATTTTCTTTCAATTCGGTTTTCATATTTTTTTCCATAGAAAGCAAAGTTGATTTTAAATTTTGATTACAATTAAAATGAGACTTGAGCTTAGATTTACGGCGCTTCTTATGTGGGACTTTTTTAATAATTCGATGCATAGCAGAATTATTAGGTGATAAACGTGTACGAGTCTTACTCAAATTGTTGTTATCATTACATTCAATATATGGATTTGAGGTATGGTTGAGAGATGATTGAAAAGGGTTAAAAGGATCCTACTTAGAAAGAACAATGAATAACGAGGTAAGATATTGATGAATATTTGTCGAAATAACAGAAAAAAAAAGTCATTTACTGTACAATTCAACCACATTCTAAAATAATTGATTAATTTAAATGTTACTTTTTAAAATCATTTTGATCATATTGCAAATAAAACGTGCTTGATCGGTTATGAAATGTTGAGATGTTTGGATATTTGAATGACAAGCTACATTTACTGCACAAATAGTAAAGCTTCTATACATGATACAGGTCTCAGAGTTTCAAAACCAGATCCTTAAGGCGTTTGGGTTAAAGTGAGTTTTGTTGTAGCCGGAGGTAAGTAAGTGGTTGATACATAACGATTAATACCACCTTGAAGGACATGGGGAGGAAACAAGATTATGGGCGATCTCATCTTTACACTACGACAGGTCCTGGAACACAGATACACATTTAGGCGTCCTACAATAGTTGTCTTCCTGGACCTTAAAACGGCATTTGACTCTGTGGATCGTGAGGTCCTGTGACAGTGTCTATCATTGAAAGGTGTACCAAAGAAGTACATTAACCTAATACAAGTTCTCTACTCTAAAACTACTGGTCGGGTGAGAGCTTATGGCGAACTGTCATCTGAATTCTTTACTTCAAGTGGTGTGCGTCAGGGATGTCCACATTTCCCATTCTTGTTTAATTGTCATAGACATACTCCTAGATATAACCTTATCCTCGCCTGACTTTTCAGGAGTCGACTTTCTAGGTAGGGATGACAAATCAATAGATGAAGTAGTGAAACTTCATCAGTTGAAGTGGTTGGGACGTGTCACGTATGCCTAACCACCGACTGCCGTGACGAGTCGTTTTGTGGTGTAGGAGTAGGTTGGAAGAAAGTTACGGGTGGCCAAACCAAATCGTGGCACAAATCCATGAAGTCACTTACAAGTGGACTGAGTCATGTTGGTAGATGTAGGCTACCTGGTTGGGATACGCCAGACGAAAGCAACCAATGGTTAGAGACCTTGAACGACATGGCTCAGAAACGTTTGCAATGGTGCAGGTGTATCCACTCTTT